AAATTTAGATGGTGTGGCATTATAATTTTGTTCATGAAGCCAAACTCTACACATATCAGCAATATCTTCATCATCAAAATTAAACCCAAGAAAACTAGTAACTGTATGAAAAACCACTGTGTTATAATTACGATCTAAATAGTTATTCACTCCTTTTTGCTCATTATCAAAGGCCAAAAACAGTAAACCTTTTGGAAGTGGCATAGCTTCACCAGCTAAATTTTCCTGCCATTTGATGAATTTCTTGTAACCACCAGAACTCAAGAAATGACTATCTAAATCAATAATTGTTTTTGATTTTGCTATTGAGTATTTGATAGCTGATGCAGCTAAATTGATTGCAGAAACATATTTACGATGTCTTGCACCATAAATAGCATCAACTGCCACTGCACATTTAAAAAGTTGTTCTTCAAGGGGATTTTCATTTTCATGTGTTGTAAATGTTTTTATAAATTCTGCAACTACTGGATTTTGCTTAGCAAGCCATCCAGAAGTAGAATATCCTAAAAGGCTATCTAAGCTAAATCGATCCTGATCATTAATTAAATTAATGATATTATCGTATAAATTTTTTCGTTCATGATTGGCAATTTCTTTTATTGATTCAATCCATGTTTGTTGGTTATCAAATCTTCTACTCCATTTTTCTTTTAAAATTTCATTTTCAGATGTTAATTGTTTATTTTGATATTCCAACTCATCAATTTTTTCCTCATACTCATTTAAGAGATTGATATAATCTACTTGTTTGTTCTCTAAATTTTTTAATTGTTCTTTTGTTCTTGCTAATTCTGATATAAGATATTCAAGGTATTTGTCTGGTGAGGATTCCTGAATTTCTGTTTCACAAACTTTTGTTTCAAGAGATGGTTGAAACAATGAATCATCAATATTTTTCCTTCATTTGTATGGATTTGTGTTGACAGAAGAACTGGAAGTTGAATCAGGCGTTTGCAAATCAGGTGTTTGCAAATATTTGAGGAAATTATCATTTGAAATTATTTGATTATAGTGTCCTTCACAAAGAGAATAATTTTCTAAAAACCCTATCAATAAAGATAATTCTGGAAAATAGTTAGTAAAACATTTTATACGTTTCATTACCAAGCTTCCAGATGCATGCCTCCAACGTTGATTAAGTTTGGTTTCGCATAATTTCAATTTGCCTCCAATGTTGATTAAGTTTGGTTTCGCATAATTTCAATTTTTTTTCAGAATATTTCTCAGTAAGAGCTGCAAATAAGCATGGCAAACTACTTGCTGATGAATTTGACACTGAAAAGTGTAAAAAAAATACAAAATTTTAGCATAAAAAGCAACAAATTTGGACTTCTAGTAGATAAATTCTCAATTTTAAGTAAAAGCATACTTTGAGTAAATTAATGGATTAAGAAAAACGTTTAGTGGATTAAGAAAGTAAAAGTTTAAAGGTATTTATTTCAATTATTATAATAAGGGTTTGTTTTTTAAAAAAAATTTTTTCCAAAGGTACAAAGTATCACGTTGGCTCGTTTGTAACATACAAAACATATATGAATTGATCAACAAAGTGGCGTAAATTCTACTTCCAAATTTGGAAAGAACCCTGACTGTAATACGCCATACTTTATTATACCATAAATTTCTTTTTTGAACTTGGACAATCTTTTCTACAAAAATTGCAACATTCTAGAGAAGATACACATCTATAATAGTACCATATTTTATAATATCAACAAGCTTGTATAAATGCACAGTTTAATGTCTACTTTAATCTACAAAGGTTTACATATTAGTATTTTTTTCAGTGAGTGACATATTTTGGCTTGAATTTTCAATTATTTTTTATTTTTTATTCATTTTGTGTGTAAGAAATTATTCAAATTCCTATGATCTCAAGTACCAGGCAAACTTTATCATGCTTGTTTAAAGACACAGCTAATAAATATCCAGTGAGTCACTTACAACCATGTAAAACTGACTCACAAACATGGAAACACATATCAGCACCTGCTGCAGTTGAAAGAGTAAATAAATATGGAAGGTAAAACCAACCAAAACAACTCATCATTGTAGCAATTTTACTATTAAGTCCTATTTTTGGCCAAGTATTTCCTGAGTTATCTTTATTGAATAATTGTTTAGAAAATTATTCATTATTATATGTAATCAGATTGTTGCTACTGACAATTTTACCAGAATTTTTTAAACTCAGATGTAAGCTCAGACATACATTTGATTCAAAAAAACAAAAGTGTTTGACAAGATATACTGGAGACAAATTCTATTACCTCTAGGTAAAATATTAAAATAGTTCATTAATAGTAACCATAGGAATATATAGAACAAACAGGCATATGATATCAATCTGTAAAA